CATGAGTTTTTCCCGTCTGCTCTTTGCAGTCATGAGCTTTTCCAGTCTGCAGTTCTTCTGGACTACTTTCGTCTGCGCCCTGGATCCTCTGCCCTGCTCGGAGGACTGTTGTCTCCTGTTCGGATTCTGTTAGGGCCGGGTGCATGGATGGTGGACCTGGACCTCCAGGTCACTTCTTGGCACGTTCCTCTCCAGTTTTTCTGGGGCTAGCACGGTTGGTAATTACCTATGTGTACTTACAGGATGAGAGCTACTCTCGTGGTGTCCCGTCTTCCCAGCACTCTTTGTCATATAATGCTTTGATTATAATTGTCATATTGTCATATAATGATTGTCATATGTCATAATATGTCTTCATATGATTGTCATACAATGCTTTGGTGGTGGGGCTTTCAGGTTTGCTGTTTTTATTGCATTCCCTATTTTGTGAAGGGCACTTTGTATACTCTTTGCATCTTTACCGGATCTTAGTGCCCTGTCTGCGTCTGAGATTCGGTGTCTGGCCTACCTCGACGACTGGCTGGAGTGGGCTCCCAGTCAGTCCGCTTGTCTGCTCGCCAGGGGATGGTTCTTTCCAGATCGCTGGGTTTGGTTTCCTGGTGATCTGGAGGTTTTGCCTTCTGTTTCCGTCCCGGGTTCGGACCTGGGCCTTGTTTCAGGCTCTTGGGCCCCTCATTGTCTTCCCTCCAGAAGTGTTACTGTGGCTGTGGTCCCGCCTTTGGCTGTTCAGGAGGGGGTCCCGGGTTGCTCAGCGGTTGCTTGGGCGGTTGTGCGGGAGTTTGCACTTCGGCGTGCTTGTCTGCCCGCGGAGTCGGGTTTGGCTCCGGCGTCGGTTGGTTCCTACGGAGACTCCACTTCCGCCTCTTGCATTCCTTGGGTTCCTCTGGGGATCTGGTGTTGGTGCTGCGTCACCAGCTTCCTCTTTGGGGTTTTCGGGGTTCCGTGCCTTGGCGGCTCCCCGAGCCTTCGCTCGATGTGTTCACGGACGGGTCGTCTCTCGGCTGGGGCTTTGTGACCAGTGCTCACCAGGTCGGCCGAGGTTGATGGAGTCTGTCTGTCCGTCGGGCTCACAGCCCGGTTCAGGTGTTCATGGCTGTCTGGTTTGCGCTTCGGAGGGTTTGGGTCACTAGGTACTCTACCATTCAGCTCTGTTTGGACTGTTCTCCGGTGGTTCTTGCCGGAACCACAGGGGGTTTGGTTAACCGTGTGGTTCGTGTCCGGGGTGTGTCCTGCGTCCTGGTGGACAGCTGTCTCGGTTCATTCCTCTTCGTGGGTTGGCCAGTCGTTGCCGATGCGTTTTGTTGGCTCTGTTGGGCTTATGGACTCATGGCCATGGACGTCTTCGGGTCGGCGTGGTCTAGGCGTCGCCCGTTTTGTGGGGCCCTTCCCACCTGCGAGGTCTTCACGGTGGAGGCTTTCGGCAGGCCTGGTCGAGGTGGGGGGTACCTGTACCTCTTCTCCCGGTCCAGCTGTTGCTTCGGGTTCTGGCTCAGTTGCAGCCCATTCCCACGAGAACAGTCCTTATGGTTTCACTGTGGCCGGCCCGGCCTTCTTTTCAGACGCTGCTTGATAGGTGTCCGTACCCGGGGCGTTTTTCCTGAGGCTTCGCCTCTTTCAGCAGGCCGAATCGGTCCTGTCCGTGACTGGTTCGGCCTTCTCTTTGGCTCTTCGCGTCTGGTATTTTGACGCAGGTATCGCCATCTCTATGGTGTTCAGGTGGCTTTGTTGACGGTGTCCCACCTGCGAGCTTCGTCTTGGAGACTGTATGACGTTTATTACGTCTTCTCGCGTTTTGTTTCCCCTCCGGCCTGCTCATGAGTCGCCTGAGCCATCCTGGTCCTTGTTCAGGGTGCCTTCTTCTCTTCCCCTCAGTTTGTGGTAGCCCCTTTGGTTTCAGTTTCCTCCTCTTTGGTACTGGTGGTAGCTTTATTGGTGTGCAGCCTTTCTCTGTCCTGGCGACGGTCGAGGCGGCTGCTTTCCGGAGGGGTTCTTGGGGTATTGGTACTTGTTTGGTTTGGCCGGGGGGTGCGTCCTGTGTTGTCCAGTTGTGCTTTTTGCTGTTGCCGGCGTACCATGCCTGGGGATGCGCTGTGGTTGATCCGGTTCCTTCGTTCCCTGTTTTCAGGGCTCGGGTCTCCCGGGTCGTCCGCAGTGTTTTCCTTCTTACTGCGGTCTGTCTTTGCGCCCGTGCTGTTCAGACGTTTGCAGCAATTGCTGCTGTGTTGGTGACGTCTCGGGCTCATTTCGGGCGCAGGGAATTGTGGGTCGCACAGGTTTTTGGCCGCCCATCCATGTGTGCGTCTGTTCTTGGGCGTTCTTGTTGCCTTGGGTCGCAGGTTTGCGTCCGGTTGTCTTGGCTTTGCGTTGCAGAGTTTGTGGCGGCCGCCTCCCGGGTTAGCCCTTTCTTTTCCTTCTCTTTGGGTATGAAGCTCCAGGGAGCCGTAGGGGCTCCCCACAGAAAACCAGCGTTGAATGTAATGAAACGCCATTTTCTGGGTGAGCCCCGGAGGCTCCCTGGAAACCCTCCCTCCCACCGGTCGGCGGTTTTTTCGCGTTGGTTGACGCTTAGCTTCTGAACTGGAGCTTGGCAGCCGGCGCGGTAGGTCCGGGGCTCCCCCCTCCCCCTCCCGGGGTGGGGAGGGCTGCGTGGACGATCGGCGCGGCAGTAAAGTGTGATGTTTGCTTGTTTGCTTGTTTCCTTGGGATTGTAGGGAGTTTTCTACCTCTCTGTTGGGTTTTTGTTGTAGTTTCTTACCATGTGGGGTTTGTTTTGTTACGCCTACCTTTCTGGGTGCCTAACCCCGGTCGATGGCAGATAAGGAAAACCCCCAACCATATGGGGTTTTCCAGGGCCATTGCTCCCTGAAACCTCTCTGAAGGGGCCAGGTTCTGGCGCTGGTCCCTGGTAGGTCTGAACTCCTTAGCTAATGTCCCGGTCTAACATAACACACATTAGCCCGATAAGCTCCAGGGAGCCTCCGGGGCTCACCCAGAAAATGGCGTTTCATTACATTCAACGCTGGTTTTTTGACTTCATCGTTGTGCTTCCCTTTCGATTCGGGTGGTGTTATCCTTTCTCTCTTGGTTGTTCCAGGACCATCATCTTATGCTGAATACTGTCGCCTCGTATCGTGCGGTACTGGCGGAGCCACTGCAGCTTGCTTTCGGTATTGATGTTACTTCTGTGCCATTTCGCAAGCTTTCTCGGGCGTTGTTTCACCTCCGGCCTGCTCATGCGCCGCCTGAGCCGTTCTGATCATTGGACACGGTGCTCGCCTTTCTCTCTTCTCCTCAGTTTGTTGTGGCCCCTTTGTTTCAGGATTGTTTCTCGAAGGCTCTTTTCCTATTGGCATTGGCCTCTGGTGGTCAGGTCGGGGAGCCTCATGCTCTCCTCTGGCTCAGGGGTTTCTGCTCTTTCAGTTGTGCCGATCGGTTTGTTCGTCTGCAGCAATCTCTTGTTTTTTTTTTCTGGCAAAGAATGAGATGGCTGCTTTCCGGAAGGATCCTTGGGTTGTTGATGCTTGGTTGGTCAGGCCAGGCGTGCATCATGCTTTGTGTTCGGTTGTGGCCCTCCATTGTTATTTGTACGCCACAGCTTCTGTGTCCGGGTACGGGCTTTGGGTTGATCCAGTTTCCCTCCTTCCCTGTTCGCGGGTGCGAGTCTCCCAGGTCGTCCTCAAGGTTATTAAGGCTAGCCAGCCTGCGGTCTATCCCCATGCCCATGACGTTCATAAGTTTGCTGCTCTTGCTGCCGTCTTTGGCAACATGTCCTGGGCTGACATTCGGGCGCGGGGTTTTTGGCGATTGAACAGGGGCTGCGCACTACCTCGTGAACATTCCTGGGCCTAGTTGGGCCTGTGTCGCTTTGGGTCAGTGGTTGCAGCCAGTTGTCTCGACTTCAGGTTGAGGAGTGAGCAGCGACCTCCTCCTGGGTAAGTCCCTCTATTTTTCCTCTGTGGGTAGTTACCTCTGGGGAGCCAAAGGGGCTCCCCCCAGAAAACCAGCCTTGAATGTAATGAAACGCCATTATCTGGGTGAGACCCGGAGGCTCCCAGGCATCCCTCCCTCCTGCCCGGTCGGCGCTTTTTCACGTGTTTTGATATCCAGCCTCAGAACTTAAGGGTGGGTGGCCGGTGTGGGGGTCTGCGGCTTCCCCCTGCGCAGCTGCACGACCACGTGTGATGTCATGCTCATTTGCTTGTTTCTTTTTGGGGAGTTCTATCCACTTGTTCAACTTTTTAAAGCAATTTTCACCAGAATAGGGGTTAGTTTTGGGACGCTTACCTCTCTGGGTGCCTGACCCAGTCGATGGCAGATATAAAATGCATCCTACCACACGGGTTTGTATAGGCCATTGCTCCCCAATGCCTCTGATGAGGCCAGGTTCTGGCTCGTGGTCCCCGGTAGGCCCACATAACTCCATACACATGACTCATGCCAAAGTCTGACATCAGCTTATCAGCCTGGATAGCTCCAAGGAGCCTCCGGGTCTCACTCAGAAAATGGCGTTTCATTACATTTAACGTTGGGTTTTTATTTAAATCAGTTAGCTTAAGGACCTGCCAAAATGCTGTGTTTGTGAGTGGCTTTGCAAGAATGTACAGTAATGCTCAAACACCTATGTTATGTACTCCCACAACCCAATGTACTTTCTTGTATAACTAAAAAAAAAAAAAGTGAAATTTGATTGTTAATTAAATTGTAATTTCAAGAACAGATTAAAATAATTACTTCTGTTAGTTAATCAGATTAAAAATTTAGAATTAAATTTTAAAGTTGCAACTCATTATTATCATATGGTAATAATACAGTTGGATAAGGATATGCAATATATGCTGACAAATTGAATAAAGAGTAGACAAAATTTTGAATTTTATCATTTATAGATAGATTTTTTTAGAAGCATAAATGAATTAAAATATCAGACCACCAGTAAAAAATATGATTAACTTCAAATCTCTTACTAATATTAAAATTAAAATACATAATATTTTTTGCAGATTGTGGGTACATGAGATGTATCGGGAGTTCTGTGACCGACTGATGGAGGCCTGGGAAGTGACACCAATATATAAAATAATTGTCAACACAATTAAGACCAACTTTAGGGACAAGATACATGTGATATTTGATAAAATCTGCAACGATGATGGCTCGGTATGAAGACCAGCATGCTTTACTTAAAAAACTTTATTAGTTAAAGTTGTAGTTATAATTATTCTGGATACTATTGAAGTAATTTTTGGGAATCTCATGTCCTTAGAGCTTGTTTAATGTTATATATTAATATACTGTATTGGGATATTTCTGTGGGGAGCCCCTACGGCTCCCTGGAGCTTATCGGGCTAATGTACTTTATATTAGACCAGGACATTCGCTATGGAGCTCAAACCTACCAGGGACCAGAGCCAGAACCTGGCCCCTACAGAGAGGTTTCAGGGAGCAATGGCCCTGAAAAATCCCCATGTGGTTGGGTGTTTTCCCTTATCTGCCATCGACCGGGGTTAGGCACCCAGAAAGGTAGGCATAACAAAACAAACCCCACATGGTAAAAAACTAAAACAAAAAACTGAACAGAGAGGTAGAAACTCCCTACAATCCCAAGGAAGCAAGCAAACATCACACATTACTGCTGTGCCGCTTGTCCGTGCAGCCCTCCCCTCCCCGAGAGGGGGTAGGAAGGGGGAGGGGGGCCGGACCTCACTGCGCCGGCTGCCTAGCACTCCAGTTCGTAAGCTAATGTCAACTAGGACAGATGCTTCTCTGGCCTCAAATTCCTGTGTGGTGTTCTCTGCTGTCTTAGTGTGGTGTGTGGTGGTCAGGAGTACCTCATCAGTGCCAGGGCTGCATGCTCTTAGGGGCTTCCTTCCCTAAGCGCCCTGTGAATACTGCCCCTGCATGTCAGGGTTATCTTCCCTGGGGCATTCGGGACCCGTTCCCGTAAGGGGTTCTTGCTGTTCGGCATTTGCCTCACTTGGGGCCAGCTGGGGCTTGGGGCCCTTGTTTGGCCTTGGGTCAGGAGTGGTGTTGCGCTTGTTAGGGCGTCAAGGTGTTGTGGGACCTGCCACCTATGCGGCGACCGGTTCCTGTTGCCTCTGGGAACGGTGTACTTTTGCAGGGTTTTTGTTTTGTTTTGTTTTTATTTGCCCGGTGGGGGTCTGCCTAGTGGGACTATAGTTCCCCTGATACTGTTTTGGTGGTCTTCTGTTAGCCCCTCCCCCCTCCCCCGTGCTTGTACATGTTGCAGGGGTTTCAGTGTTGTCATCTACCCCTTGTTAGTTTGGGTGTTTAACCGGTTAGCAACACCTTGCTCGGGCTAACCGTAGTTGTTACCCTACGGGCCCTGGAAAACCCTGTCGGTGCTCAGTGGACCAGTGGATGCGTCTCCCAAGTTCCAGCCTGCCTATCATGGGGGCCTAGCAGAGGGCCGCCAAACACTACCAGTGGAACTATAGCCACACTGGGCAGACCCTCACCAGGCAATTGAAAATAAAAACAAAAGAAAAACCCCGCAAAAGTACACAGTCTCCAGAGACAACAGGAACCGGCCGCCGCTTAGGTGGCAGGTCGCGCAACACCTTGACGCCCTAACCAGCACAATTCTAATCCCTACCCAGGGCCAAACAAGGGCCCCAAGCCCCAGCTGGCCCCAAGGGCGAGGTAAATGCCGAACAGCAAGAACCTCTACGGAAATGGTTCCTGAACACCCCAGGGAAGATAACCCTGTTAAGCAGGGGAAGTACTCACAGAGCGCTTAGGGAAGTCAGTCACTAAGCACATGCAGCCCTGGCATTGATGAGGTACTCCTGGCCACCGCACAACACAACACACGGCAGTGAACGCCACATAAGGCAAACACCCCCTAGGAAACTGAGGCCAGAGAAGCGTCTATCCCGGTTGACATTAGCTTATGAACTGAAGCTTGGCAGCCGGCGCGGTAGGTCCGGGGCTCCCCCCTCCCCTCCCCCTCTTGGGGCGGGGAGGGCTGCACGGATGATCGGCGCGGCAGTAAAGTGTGATGTTTGCTTGTTTCCTTGGGATTGTAGGGAGTTTCTACCTCTCTGTTCGGTTTTTTGTTTTAGTTTTTTACCATGTGGGGTTTGTTTTGTTATGCCTACCTTTCTGGGTGCCTAACCCCGGTCAATGGCAGATAAGGGAAAACCCCCAACCATGGGGAGATTTTCCAGGGCCATTGCTCCCTGAAACCTCTCTGTAGGGGCCAGGTTCTGGCACTAGTCCCTGGTAGGTCTGAACTCCTTAGCTAATGTCCCAGTCTAATATAACATACATTAGCCCGATAAGCTCCAGGGAGCCTCCGGGTTTCACCCAGAAAATGGCGTTTCATTACATTCAACGCTGGTATTTTGACTAAAATGAGGCCAGTTAATATGACAAGTGGAGGAAGGCTTAGTTTACGCTAGACAGTTGCATTTGCAGATTCCCAAGTAGTTAAAGTACAGTATTGAGAATTTACCATAATTTACAAAAAGGCTACTATCTCCAGTGGCCTTAGCAGGTAGAAAGGAAGCTGATAGCTTATGAAAGGTTCTTAATTATTCTTGAAATAATTTTCCATTTTTTTTTTTTTAATCCTTTATAGTTTATACAGATAGGTGATTCCTTGGGTTTGTCACCGAGTTTCATTCAGTTTTTATTTTTTGTTTTCAAACGGCATATTGTATAGACCCACATGGCTTCACATGCAGTGGGAGTAGTTTTGTGAAGCGAGGCTGCAGTGGGAGTGGTGTTGTAAGGGCACAAGCTTCTTTCTATTCCTCTTTACCTAATAAAGAAGAGGGTAAATATAATGGTCCCTATGGGTAGAAGAACGTTTGCAAATAACAACTTTGGAAATCACATAAGTGTTTATTTCTATAGACTTAAGCTTAGAGGTAAAAAATATATTTGGAGCATGTTTGTAATTTGCAAATGCTATTGAATCAGGACTTGACATAGCTATTACTAGTCCCCAAAATTTGGACCTAAATAACAAACAAGTTCAGTATATTCTAAAACTCCACTCTTTTAAATTTTAAACTGGTACACTTAAGTGTGTTCTACTGGATTCTAGTACACAGTTATCTTTACTGTACATATAAGATAAACCACATTGCCCAGGCTAACCAACAAGATTAAAACTGTGTACACAATAGGACAGATAATCACACAAAAATTGCCAGCCGTCACTAGCAATATGAACAATATGAACTGTACTGTACATAACAGTTCTATTCCTACTTATATATTGTGACACGTATATTATATTTTTAGATCAACCAAACAGTGTTCCTATTGTTATTACGCTACATATGCACGTTATATAACACTATCAACATTTATATGCACCATTAACTATTAAGCAGTTCTGGTATGCATGGTTATGAAATCAAAACACAGCATGGAGCCACAAGTAGCCGATGCCAGCAGTCACACGATGCAAGACAATTCCTCCAATATTCTACACATCTCACTGTGACTAGCTACAGAACTGCTGTTATTATCACATTCCTGTCATAAAATCCCGAATATGAATCCATTTCCATAAGGAAATGAAGATTAGTGAAGGCACACAAGATCGTTTCATGATGCGTAGTTACAAGAAACAATGGCTCAGTGCTGTGTCTGTACTTCATGCTGGGAATATCATAACTATCTATGTATTCACTGATATCTGAACGTTTAATATAGTTTTTATCACAGTCAAGATCACCTATGACACTATAAATGCAAAATAATTTCACTTACCTATTTTATTCATCATTACTAAGTGGTGCTGTGAGCCCTACCAGTACAGTGGTGCTGTGGCCCCTAGCTGCACAATGGTGCTGTGGACTGCTCCTACATGTGCCAGCCTTGGTCGCGCTCTCAGTACTAAGGCTCTCACAACCAGCACAGATGCTGATGATTTTTTTTCAAGATGGCGTCTGTTTACAGGAGTCCTGAGGCACAGGATGTAACCCTGTGTAACTCCAGGCGTTTTGAATCACTTCCTATACAGTACCTAAAAATGCCATATGGCGCTCTGCGCTCCCCTGATTGGGGCCTTAAGGTGCCCTGAATAGTGCAGTGGTTAATCAGGATTTTCTCAAGATGGCGGGTGTTTACTATTGCCCTCGGGCAGCATCTGGTTGCCCCCAATTACACTGCAGGGCTTTTAAATTTTATGCAGTACTTTAAAACATCCCTGATTGTGATGTGCGGTTTACAGATATTTGCTGAGAACATTTCTCATTGTGTCACACAGTGGAAGGGTTAAATACAGTTGTCAAGATGGGGACACACACATGGATGGAATTTATGCCACTTGATGCCCTCTTTCAACCCGTCCTCGGACCAAGCCCTTTCTATCCAGTGGTCAACCCCAAAGACTCATTCATCAATTTTAACCACTGCACTGCTCTGCATTAAAATATGACAAACCTCTGGTGTGCAGAAAATACATTCTTTCCAAAAAAGAATTATCTCTTCTAATATTGTTTAAATAGTCTCTGATCATGGGAAACTAAAAAAAATATTGACTGTGACATAGTTTAGCCGTGATGGAGCTGGGAAGTTGAGCAAGTTATGGGCTCTGAGCGATGGAGCGCTCAAGGTCACTAGGGCCCGCCACCCCGTGGGGTGGCAGTTGCCGCAAATATAATGTTTCACAATTATTTTGATGTTTCCCGTTCATTTCTTCTCTGAATTTTTGCTATATTATTATTAAAAAGTGTGTAATTTGTGGAATTTATATAGTTCAAAGTGTGGAACATCGCTATGCTCAAAATTATGGGGCTCATATATGTGACACACACACATTATATTCTACGATCAATCAAACAGTGTTTTTTTCTGTTATTACACTATATACACACATTGTATATACCCATCTACATGTGTGTGTTCACCATAATGAACCACTAGGTTGGTATGGTGAGCCTAAAAAAAACAAGAGTGAGCTGCCACACCCAGCCAACCAGCCCTCCCCCTCTCCTCCAACACCTTACTCACCAACATTCCTTCTTCCACCATACTGTTATTATTTTTATTACACTATTTACACACGTTATGTATAAGTATCTACATGTTTTATTCACCAGAACTATACAATTAAGCTGGTATTGTGTCTAAACAGCACAGTGGCCACCATACACTGCATGACAAGTCACACAGCAGAC